TCCGAAAGTTTGGCAACCGCTGCCCTAGAAAACTGTCTTTATGGCCATAACGGCCAATGGTTTTCTTGTATTGTTTTGTATTCTTATTTTAGCAGATGTAAAAGACTTAAATGATCACATCTCTGTATCCGTGTATATTTTAATGCAATACACACAATATTCACACCTTCATTTGACTTGGTATCAGCCTCTTGCAATCTTCTGTATTAGCAGAGCTCAGAATGGGAATGGGGAAAGCAGCATACGGAGCCAGGCTGATAGGAGTAGAGATCAGTTCGACAGAGATACACTCTTCTGTCTGTAGCTTCTGCTTTCACTGTCCAGTCACACACTGGGGGTGGGGAGGAGACCAATAAATATTATTAACAATGTCCATGTGCAGTCAAGAAACATGCTGATAGGAGGACTGACAGAGGGGAAAGCAGTATAAGGAGCCAATCAGTTGTGCTGCACTGTGTATGTGTTAACAAAGAACATATTGATAGTAGGAGTGAGCAGAGAGACAGAGCAATGAGCTTATCAGTGTTCTGCTTCTTATTTCACTCTCCTGTCACGGGCTGGGGGAGGTCCCCTCCAAATCATTGGATTCAAGTGTTTCGAGAAATTTCCTTGCTACTAAATATTCCACGGTCACCTGTTAGTGGTATTATAACAAAGTGGAAGCAACTGGGAGCAACAGCAACTCAGCCACGAAAAATGACAGAGAGGGGTCAGCGCATGCCTGCAGAGTCAATAGCTATAGACCTCCAAACTTCGTGTGGCCTTCAGACTGGCACAACAACAGTGCGTAGAGAGCTACATGGAATTGGTTTCCATGGCCAAGCAGCTGCACCCAAGCCTTACATCACCAAGTGCAGTGCAAAGCGTCGGATGCAGTGGTGTAAAGCACGCCGCCATTGGACTCTAGGGAAGTGGAGATGTGTTCTCTGGAGTGGCGAATCACGCTTCTCTGTCTGGCAATCTGATGGACATGTCTGGGTTTGGCGATTGCCAGTAGAACGGTAATTGCCTGACTGCATTGTGCCAAGTGTAAAGTTTGGTGGAGGGAGGATTATGGTGTGGGGTTGTTTTTCAGGGGTTGGGCTTGGCCCCTTAGTTCCAGTGCAGGGAACTCTTGAGGCATCAGCATACCAAGACATTTTGGACAATTTTATGCTCCCAACTCTGTGGGAACAGTTTGGGGATGGCCCCTTTCTGTTCCAACATGACTGCGCACCATATATATATCGATATATATCCTTGCTCTGCAGTCATTTATAGGGATCTATAGAGGGGCGTATTGCATAGACCTGCAGGCCCCCATCCACCAGCAGGGGACAGGTTAAATATGAATGACGCCTTTAATGTGTAATTTAGTGTTCTGCAGATACTAGGGGTTATGGCGTGATCGAGGGCCCAAGGGAAATACACCAGAGCGCAGGGTAATAGTTTTATGAAACAAGTTCTAGCACATATTCTTTATGTCGTCGCTTACCCCGATCCCTTTTTTTTTTCTTTACCCGTTGTGCTTGCAATTTAAAATTCCCTCTATTCTCTTCACAGCGGCTATGATTTTGACATTGATTACTACAGAAATGATTTCTATGAGAGGTGAGTGAAGCTGCGTGAATGCACTATGACCTATTTTCCTTCTCTGTCTCATTGTGAATTGCGTTCCAGCTGTGGGGTGGGGGAGGCAGGGAGGGGGTGAAATCAGAGCCTTGCGAATGCAATCACATCTTTGCATTGTCAAGCGGCACAACGGGGGGACGGGGGGCAACCTTTACACGCTCGAGTCTTCATCCAAGCCAGAAGGAGAATCCTTTCTCCATAGTGCCTTTCATGTTCTTGTGTTTTGTCATTTGGGTGGAGGATGGGTCAGGTATAGGTTTTAATGAAAAATACCAAAAAGGACCAATAGGCTTTGACATGCACACAGTGTATGAGATATGTCATATATCTTCTTGTATAGTGACACAAACTGGTCATATCAAAGAGAATTCTGAGTACATTCAGGTGCATTTGTTGTGCATTTGTTGTGCCATTGCTTGTACAAAAAAAAATTAAAATATATGTAAACCCTAAAAATTAACTTTAATGTCAATGTATTGTACTGAAAATCCCAGGTGGGATCACTCAACCCATGCTCAACTCAGTGGACTACAGAACACCCCAAACACTCAGGGGCATCCCGAGGCCGGGTGTCACCCGGAGCAGAGATTGGATGACACCTCGTCATGACGTCATCGCGCATGCACGGTCATCTAATTGACACCTGCCGGCGGCCATCTTGGTGATGGACGCTGGCAGAGAGAGGAGGGGACGTTCACCCGGCGGGATGAGGTATGCCACCTGGTCCCCTCCTCTCTTCTGACACTGTCAGGCTCTCGGTCCATGACCGAGTGCCTGACTTTTTAGAGGGGGTGACACCAAAATGACTCACCCCTCCAATGGTGTCACCCGGGTGCGGGCCGCACCCCCCACACCCCTCTTGTGACGCCACTGCACACACTTATGGCATGAAGCAAAGGACAGGTGGATGTTCTGTAATCCAAAGACACTAACTGTCCTAGGATGACAATGCTGCAGATACAGTGTGGTATGTGAGCGTTCTCACCCCCGGACAGGAAGTGTCAGGCAGGATCACCAGGTGCAAATAAAGGGGAAAACCTGGAAAAAAAAAAAGGAAATTAATGCAGCAGCCACGTCTAAGGGCTGCTAGGCTGTAATTTATTAAGTTTTTTGTTCTTGAGTTTTGATACAATTTAAAAGTTTTCCCTCCAATGGAATGATGACGGTGCATCAGTTTACATGGATGAGGGCTTTTCAGTGAAGTTTTTGTTTCAGTGCTATCTGGCTGCCGTCACATATAGGCAGCGCTGATTTTGTCTGATTGATTTTGGTGCATTGAAGGGCAACTCCTGGCAAACAGCTGAATACACAGATGATATATATATATATATATATATATATATATATATA